AACCCCCCCCCCCCCCCCAAAAACAACAACCCCCAATCCCTTTTCTGCTGATACAAGCTTTCTTTTTAAATTAACAGATACCAAGAAAGATGTCTGAAGGTTCCTCAGCTATTATAACAACCTTTTGTCATATATATGTGGCACTGCTTTGTTCTCTTGAGACAAAGACTGATTCATTTTGGAAATAAAGAACTGGAGCATTATTTTTCTTCAGAGGACAAGGTTATACTGTTTTTGATGCTGCCTGGGCAATGCAAACCTAAAGAAGAAAATTGCTGTCATGGAAGACAGAGTTCTCTACATTGGAAACTGACATAGTTGTTCTGTTCCAGGTGAAGCCCGTTTGTGGTAATCAATAAAGAGAGAGACATTTTTATAACCATTGCACTTGACACCTCTTGGTGACTTGTTACAAAGATTCTCTGAGAAAACATAGCAGAAAGGAGGAAGTAAGTAGGACTTGTATTAGAAACAAAATTGTAATTTAATTACCTGTGATTTTAATTAGCCTTGTTTTACCATATTCCAGAAGACAAAATTCACTGATTTTTGTGAAATTGCATGTGATGGTGAGCACTGACTTCCTGGGTTCCTTTATATGAGGCATTCCTATCGTAGCAGGTGGCACTGCCTTCAGTATCTTATGCTATTTCTCTCTGTGGACTGCAGTGCCCATTTCAAGGAATAAATCATGGTTATGAAACCATGCCTCTGGTAGCAGCAAAGCTATCTAGGGAAAGCCAGGGTAATGTGTAAGCAAGTGACTGCAGTTTAGCCATCATGTATTTCCAAGGAAAACCCTGGACTCATCAATTTTGGGATGTGGAATCCTAATCTTCTAGGTGGTGCCTACATTAGGTAAAAAGGTGCAATCTTAACTCCAATTAATTATATCCAGGCAAAATCCTAGTAAAGGCACTCTGTTGCCGTTACATGAGTTGAGATTACAATGGACCTAGGTCCTCCTCTGTCTTTAATCTGACCTACTAACTCATGTAAAAACAACACACTACCCCATCTTCGCTAGGATTTTCCTTTAGGTTGAGTAACTTGAGTTTAAATTAAGAAGTCTGTCTTCTTTCCCTAATAAAGATGAGGCCTCATACATGGGGCTAACTGGAAGAATTTAAAATAAATTCTGTTAAAGTTTGTGCTTTTAATTTTTTTACTCGGACTCATTCTCACATCGGAATAATGGAGCGCTCAGCCTGTTATCCAAAGAAAGATGTAGGTGTCATCATATTGATGACTACACCATAAACCATACTCTGACCTATTCAGGTGAAATGGAGGGGAGGACCAGTTAGTCCTGATGCAGTATAATCATGAGAAAAGCACCAAACTTATCAGTCTCTCAAGGCTGAGTTGTTTCAGGGAATGCCCAGAAGTGGAACTCGCGGTGCCTCAGAAGTTAGAGAAGCAAGATCTGTAGCTGAGATAATATTTATTATTGAACCAACTTTATATTGGGAGAGTTGCTAGGCAAGCTTCAGTGGCCTGAATACATTGATAAACACCTGAAGGATAAACCATCTTGTCATGTTGCAACTGGCTGAACATAGATGTAGTCAGCAGAGGAGTGGCAAAGCAGGTCTAACATCTGACAAGCATAAGTGAGGTCTATGGGGAAGGGTTCACAGTACCTGCTTGCATTATGCCTGGCTCTCAGTCTTATTGGCACAATCGCTAGCTAAACTGAAATAACAGCTCTGTTCAATAGGGAAAAGTAAGCAGCTGTCTCCATTCTTTTTGTTCCCTTAGTTTGCACTTAGTATACTTATTCTTCACATAGGAAACAGTAACATGTACAATACCCAGTCCAATTAGCGAATTATTATATAACCCAGAAGGCAGAGAAGCACCCAGGCAAAGTTGTGAATACAGGCCAAGACCATTTTTCTTTCTTTTTTTTTAACTATTCAGTAAAGATAAATATAAATTAACTCCCCCCCCCTCTTTTTCCCTTTACCACATTACTCTATTATCAGTTGTTCAGAGAGAAACCACAGTGTGAATTAGCATTTTTTCTTTCTATAGGATATTCACAATGTATACTTTGATTAAACGAATAATAGTGGTGCAATCTACAATATAAATTGTGGAATTCTTATGTAAGCATATCATGAGGATTTGGCTCATATACGATTTACTTTGTCCCACTGTGGGAAGATCTAAACACTGGAAATCACATTACAGAAAAAGCACAATGTTGCCTCTTGCTGCGATAGGGATAGACTTGGTCTGCTGAGACTACTCAGACCCAGGGTTACAATTCTATCTGCACCTTATAGTGTAGCAAAAATGGTAAATACCATATGGCATAGTTTGCCGCAATGCATATTCATATAATTTGCTTTGTTCAATCAGTGGAGGTAAGCAAGAATTCTTGTTTCTTTTGTTCAAACTGAGCTGATCTAGCCAGAAGGTGCAAGAAGGTATTTCTTGTGAGAAAATAAAGAATCACTTTATACGAAGCAGCCTATAGATGCCATAAAATAAATACACTCTTTAATTATCACAGCAACCCCTGGAGGGAAAACAAAAACCTTCTTCTGTTAAATATGTAATAGTGATAATACAACATTGTCAGATAACATCATAAAAGATGAACCAGTAAATAAATGCTATACTTACCCAGCTAACCCACCAAAAATCTCTGTGACATAGGAATAATCCCCTCCTGATTTAGGGATAGTAACTCCTAATTCAGCATAACATAATGATCCAAGACCAGAAATTCCTCCTCCAAGCACCCAAATAATGAGAGCAAGTCCCACTGAGCCAGTGTGTTCCAGAACGCCTTTTGGTGAAATAAAGATTCCAGAACCAATAATATTACCTGGAATAAATAAAAGATTTGTGGCAAGTTAGATGAAAAGAGGTGTGCATATTTTCTCATTGCTCTTTCAGGATTTGCTGGATTGTATTTGTGTTTTCACTAGGGTTTAATGAAAGGCTGCAATTGAATGCAAATCGTGAAAAGCAATGTGCTCTAGAAGTTGCTGAAGTAGATTTTGGGTATCTGGTGAACATCCATTGGGAGGCACGATGGGACAAATTTAAAAGAGTTTGCAAAACTACTTCCCTTCACCTGCACTGCTCAACTGTTGTATTTAAAAGGCTGATGAATTTATTTATAGTGAAGAATATTTCATGTCCTCCTAAGAGGAATCTAAATAATGTATGCCCCATCTACAGAGTGGATAGAAGTCTAAATAATACATGTTGCATCTACTATGTAGTGGCCAAGCAGAAGCTGTCTTGCGGCAGTGGCCACAAGAACCAATTAATTTGAACCCATGATATATACTATACTTGAACAAAGTCCCCCAAACGGCTGATGTATTCAAAGTCCAAAGACTCTTGTCTTTATGGCACAAGTGCTGCATCTGTACAGTGTCCACAGATTCTAAAGGTATACATAGTACTGCATCAGTAATATATAGGACAACATGGGCTCTGTACTGCTAATGTTATTTTGATTAATACATGAGCTAAAGCACTACTGTAATTAGAAAGTGAATGCTAGATTATTGCTGTATTTTTCTTTCACATGCAGTATGTGTCTGTTCTCACTGAAATCAAAGCAAATGAGTCTGTTCAAGAGGAATCTTTTATCAGGGCATACTTCTGAGACAGAAACTCTTGTTAGTTTGGGGGTTTTGCTCTCTTATCTGTAGGCTTCCAGACCCAATCATGCACCTTCTTTTTAGTTTCAAAATTTCCATGTAGAGACTCTACAGCCCCTATATTAAGACTGTAGCAAGACCCTTTCTTCTGTTTGTTGCATACTAGCATCCTTGAGCACAAAGCTGGTTAACCTTCAGCTCAGCTATTGAATTTCATTGCCTACCATGGCAGTTGCTAGAAATCCTGGGTATCAGCAGTTGATGAAACATTAACATTCAGACCCATCTTGCTTTGTAAGCCTTGCCACCCATATGGCATCAAAGCCAAATTCCTTTTCTCTCCCTTTCAGCAACGTATGCCCTTTCACTTTCACATCCAACAAATAACAGCTTGACTAAACATGGCCAACTCTTTCAAGTCATGCTAACATGCGCTGCCTCGGTTCTGATGTAAGATTTCCTTAGGTAGAAGTAACAACACCTTTTGAAGTAGAAGTGTATGCATCACAAAGGCATTTTGGTCTGCTTGTGATCATCTGAGGATGCGTGTGGCAGGGATGGCAGAACAGAGTGTGCGAGGGTGGGAAGGTACAGAATGGCTCGCTTGTTGGAACCGGTGAGCAGTGATTCACAGTAAGTCAGGAAGTCTAATGAGTGGCTGAACCTGGGTTGCTGAAGGGAGGCAGGCAGGAGAGGGGAGTCCTACAGCTGTGGACTTTTGAACGTGTGCAAAAGTAGAGTGCTCCTGTAAACTCTAGGGCCATGTCTAGACAACCTGTCTGCAGCGCCACACACCACGCATGCAGGCATTCCCCAAGCTGTTACCTTGCAATGGGGAAGGGGGGGGGGAGGGAGAGAGAGGCTTGACCCCAGGAGATTCCAGGATCAAAAAAACTCTGCGCCTTAAAAAAAAACAACCATGGTAGCACACATGGCAGCAGTGCGTGCCGCCCAAAACTGGAGCTGGTCTGCTAGGGCTGCGCTCCGGCTGCTGGCCAGGCTCCCAGATGCAAGAGCACTGTGGCTGCAGCTCCCCCACAACCACAGGTAAGGCTGTTGGGGCCAGCACAGTTGCTAGCCCCAGCCTCCCCTACTCTACCCAGGTGTGCTGCTGCTACTTGTCCTCAGGGAAACAAACAGTCATGCTCTTCTGGACCTGGCCTAGGAGGTTCCTCATATATTGAACATCCCACACCCAGAGTATTAGGCCATAGGCAAAGGCTGTTCTCTGGGCTATCAAGGTGTTGGCAGGAGATTGCCAGGATAAACCCATGAAAGAACAAGACCCAGCAATAATTCATGATACAATAACAGCGGGATGTATTGCTTTTAGAGGGGTGGGCTCTGCATTCCAATAGCTCGTTTAGAGAACGTGCATCTTTCCCACCAGAATTAATAGCCACTCTGAAGTTAATGTTTACCTTGTGCTAGACGAGCAGAGCCTTTTGCAATACTGCAGTTGACTCAAGCCACAAAATGACATTATACACGCTTTGATTTTGGTCTCGCATTGGTTTATCTGAGACTTGCATTTTATATATAGTCCAAATGGACATGGATGTGTCAAATGTATCCCCTTGTGGTTTGCGGGAACATGGATTTTGTTATTAGCTGTGTGGTTACAGCTGGCAAAGTCCTGGTGACAGGAAGGTGAAAAGGTGCAGCCATCTAAAGCAGTCATGAGATCTGTTTGAAAACCATGGGATTTATAAAGGAAAACAAAGCAGTGGGTGCTGCTTGTTTTCTTGCACCTTTATGGTCGATTTCTTCATATCTTCAAGCATCTATCCATAAACAATGAAGGCTAAAAATGTATCTGCTCCTTTAAATGAATGCTGACATTCATGTGCAATAACCTGTCTCCAGGAACTGCTGGAGCTTTATGAGATACTAAATATCACAAAACTTTTGATGAAATCAAGAGAGTTGGCAGTGCTATTAAAAAAAGGGTTATTAAATCTACTATGGCACCAGAAATCCACATAAAACAGCAGATTTTGCAAGTGTATTGTTAGAAATCGCTAGCTCAGTTCTTATAATTGGCTTTTAACTTCTAACACTATTGAATCTATTCTTAAATATTTCTTCCCTAGATGACACCATTTTTGGAGGTAAAACCACTGGGTCACTTTATGTTGGTGATAAATTGCACCTTCACATTGTAAGTGACACATGCGTTAGAGGTCTACATTACTAGGATGAGGTAATCTCCTGGTATCTCATTAAAAAGTGGCAAAATCCAACGCAGAAGCAGACTCAGAATTTGATCCTGTTTGTGTTCAGGAAGGCATTGAAGGTATGTATGTGTATAAAGGAAAAGACTAAAGACTGACTGCTGTGCTGGATAGGATTTCCCTTTTATATTTATACAATTTCCACTGAATTATGAAATTCCTTTTAAAGATCAAATAATCCACTTCTCAACAAACCAAAGTGTGCTGCTGCTGCTTCTCAAAATAATTTAACATGCAAATAATTTATGTCGTAAGGATGTATATTTATTAAAAACAGAATTTTCATCATCTTTGTAAAATACACGAGCCTTCAGCTGAATCACTCGCAAAAGGAAAATCCTATTGTACATACATAGGAATGATTGAGAAATATGGTAGTATGGAGAAATCTGCTTAACGTTATGCTTCTGGCTAACTCTTTTGACCAGGACAGCAACAGCCTAATTAACATTCCAAAAGAACGTCTCAGGGGAAGAGTCACCCTGGCTGGAATGCTAAACTAGTCCGAGAGGACCTGACGTTTCAATCTGGAAAAAGAACAGCTCTGCAAATAAACTTCCTTCCAAACAAGAGATGTGCTAGCGGGTTCAGCGAGTTCCTTTTCAATGCTATACATCACACAAAAAACTGGAACAATAAGACTGCGTGTTGAGAAATAAGGACTCTTGGGAAAATGCAAAAAAAAATGTGGGGAAAAGTTATGTGACCAGGTGCTGAGTTCAAGGAACTTCGTTGCCATATCTGGACAGGAAAGAAGGGGTGAAATGGCAAGGCAAGCTCTTCACACACGTATAATAAAGTAACATGAGAGCATAATGGAAAGAGATCCAAAGACAGGATGGGGAGGACTCATTGACACAGGTGCAGATGTCTGAGGTGTTGCACTGCTGATTAGGGCTGTACGAAATTTCGGGTGGTGACTGGGAGGAGATTTGGCCCTATTTGGTGGCTGGATCGCCGAATCCGAATCGTATTGGGACCAATTAAAAGGTCCGAATTGATTCGAAACTCTCCGAATCTTCGGAAAAGATTTGGAGAGCTTCAATGATTTGGGCAGTCCCTGGTGGCTGCGGCAGGGAGCTGGAGCTGGACTCGGAGCTGGTAAGTAGGGGTGGAGAATGGGGGCTGG